AGCTTTCTATAATTTGACACCACTTTAAGAGCAGATAGGTCTAAGTTGTTTTTTGAGAATGCACTGTCAAATTTAAATGTCATGTTTCAGAGTAAACAGTTCTTTATCTAGTAAGATAATATTCATCACACTGGGGAGTTATCAGTGGTACTTTAAATCACACATTATGTGATTACAACTACTGAATAATGCAATAAATACTGTGAGAAAATAACTACCTGGAACTAACAAAGTTTAAGATAGGAGCAGGATTGGGGCACGTGGGTGGCTCAGCTGGTTAAAGGTCTGCCTTTGGCTCAGGTCATGATCTACAGCCCCTCATCGGGTTCCCTGCTCAGGGAGGGAGACTGCTTTTCCCTTTCTCTGCCCCTCCCCACAGCTCGTGCTGTCTCTCTCTCAAATAAATACATAAAATCTTTAAAAAAAAAAAAAAAAGATAGGAGCAGGGTTCAGATCTAAGAATGAGGTGGGAAATGCTATCAAGTTCCTGAAATTAGTATCAAGAAGCGGCTCACAATTTGTTTCTACATAATTAGAGGAGTTAGGGTGGGAAAGTGGGTAAGTGTGGGAAGAGAGAAAACAAGATCAGTCATAAGCTGGTTGTCTTTAAAGCTGGGTAATGGGTACATGGGGGTTTCGTTGCACTATCCTCCTTACTTGCGCAGTCTGAAATCTTCCACAGTAATTTTAGAAGCTAACTCACAAAGGTATGTATACTACACATGTAACAGAAAAGCTAGGATATAAACTTAATCACATAATGAATAAAATCCAAGTTGGAACTGACCTTGGCACACCACTAAATTAATTCCATTATTTTGATGAAAATACAAACACACACAAAAAAGAACTTTATAGATATAAAATGAGAAACACTCCATTTATCTCGCACCTGAACTAAATTAATTCTTCAAGTTAGTTAATCCTCAAAAGCACGCTCATTAAGATGGAAAAGAGCGTCAGTCACTGTGGATATAGGCTGGAACTGGAAGTCTCTAATGAAAAGAGAAACCAGGGGATCCCCTTCAATGCCCATGAAAAAAAAAATGACATGGAGGCAATCAGCGTAGACCTACTAGATAAAGCCTGAAGGCAGTTGTTGGTAATGTATCTGGAAGAAATCTGTCTCAAGTATAGATATTAGAACCTCTTAAGTTATTCTAATAAAAAATAAGCAAACATTTAAAGACTAAGCCAGGGCGCCTGGGTGGCTCAGTCATTAAGCAGCTGCCTTTGGCTCAGGTCATGATCCCAGAGTCCTAGGATCGAGTCCCACATCGGGCTCCCTGCTCAGCAGAAGGCTGCTTCTCCCTCTCGCACTCCCCCTGCTTGTGTTCCTGCTCTCACTGTCTCTGTCTCTGTCAAATAAATAAATAAAATCTTTTAAAAAAATAAATAAAGACTAAGCCAAACCGAGTATTACTAAGAAAACAGGTAAGCCATTTGTCCACACTGGGAGTCATTTTTTTCAGGCCTATTTCATCGTCACTAGATTTCACGACAAGCCAATCAGGCAGGAAAAGACGTTACTATGTCCACCAAAATTAACAGGCCATACACCCACCTTAATTATTTAGGCAAGACAAGACTTCAACACAGCGTTAGAAAACTTTTATAATTATAAATAAGCTGAAACATGTAGTGAAAGAAAAAAAAAATATATATATATATACACAGAAAGAAACATATGGAGAGATAAACCGGACTTCACCAAAATTAAAAACTTTTGTGCTTCAAAGGACACCATCAAGAAAGTAAAAAAGACAATCCACAGAGGAGGGAAAATATTTGCAAACCCTACCCTGATAAGGGACTTATATCCAGAATATATAAAGACCTCTTCCAATTCAACAATAGAAAGACAAATAACCCAATTAAAAATGGAAAAAGGAGATGCGAATAGCCATTTCTCCAAAGATATACAACCAATGAGCATATGGTATGATGCTCAGTATTATTAGTCATCCAGGAAATGCAAATCAAAACCATAAGATACCACACTTCAACCCACTAGAAGAAGTATAATAAAAAAAATTAAAGGGGTGCCTGGCTGGGTCAGTCAAAGGAACATGCGGCTCTTGATCTCAGGGTCATGAGTTCAAGCCCCATGTTAGGTGCAGAGATTACAAAAAATAAAAAATAAACTTTAAAAAAACATTTAAAAATGGAAAATATTGGTGAGGGTGTGAAGAAATTGTAATCGTCATACACTGTGGGTGGGAAGGCAAGACGGTAAAGCCACTTTGGAAAACAATTATTCCTCAAAATGTTAAAATTACCATGTGACCTAGCAATTCTACTCCTAGGTATACACACAAGAAAAAACATAGTCACACAAAACCTTGCACATGAATATTCATGGCGGCAGTATTCATAATGTTCAAGAAGTGGAAAAACCCAAATGTCCATTAACTAATGAATGTATAAACAGAATGTAGTTTTATCCATACCATGGAATATTGCCTGGCAATAAAAAGAAATGAAGTTCTGATGCATGCCACGACATGATGAACCTTGAAAACATGCTAAGTGAAGTAAGCCAGTCACAAAGGACCACATATTCTGTGACTCCATTTATATGAAATGTCCAGTCTAGGCAAATCTACAGAGAGACAAAGACAAATCAGTGGTTGCCTGGGATGGGGAATGACTACTAAGGGGTGTAGGATTTGGGGGTGGTGATAAGGATGGTGATGAAAACGTCCTAAAAAACTGACTGTGGTGATGGCTGAACAACTCTGAATATATTTAAAGCCACTGAATTGAATACTTTTATCTTTTTAATTTTGGAATATAAGTTCACACACAACATCACATTAGTTCCCGGTGTACAACATAGTGATTCCGCAAGTTTATACATTATGCTGTGCTCAGAAGTGTAGCCCCCATGTGTCCCCATACAACACTATCACAGTACCACTGACTATATTCCCTATGCTGTGCCTGTCATCCCCGTGATTTACTCCATAATTATTTTTTTTTAAAGATTTTATTTATTTGAGAGAGAGAGAATGAGAGACAGAGAGCATGAGAGGGAAGAGGGTCAGAGGGAGAAGCGGACTCCCTGCTGAGCAGGGAGCCCGATGCAGGACTCGATCCCCGGACTCCAGGATCATGACCTGAGCCAAAGGCAGTCGCTTAACCAACTGAGCCACCCAGGCGCCCCTACTCCGTAATTAGAAGCCTGTATCTCCCGCCCAACTTTACCTATTTGCCAACCTCCCTACACCCTCCCCTCTGGAAACCATCAGTTTGTTTGTTCTTTGTATTTATAATTCTGATCCTGCTTTCTGTTTATTCATCTGTTTGTTTAGATTCCACATGACTGAAATCATATGGTTTTGTCTTTCTCATTTCTCTGACTTATTTCACTTAGCACAACACCCTCTAGGTCCATCCATATGTTGTTGGAAATGGCAAGATCTCATCCTCTTTTATGGTCACGTACTATTTGTGTGTGTGTGTGTGTGTGTGTGTGTGTGTTCCACATCTTCCTCACCCATTCATCTTATCGATGGACACTTAGATTGCTTCCATATCTTGGCTGTTATAAACAATGCTGTAATAAACATAGCAGTGCATTTATCTTTTTAGATTAGTGTTTTCTTTTTCTTTAAATACCCAGTAGTGGAATTATTGGATCATATGGTAATTCTATTTTTAGTTTTCTGAGGAACCTCCACCTCCACAATGTTTTCCACAGTGGCTGTACCAATTTACACTCCCACCAACAGTGTACAAGGTTTCCTTTTTCTCCAAATTCTTGCCAACACTTATTTGCCTTTTTGATTTTAGCCATTTTGACAGGTTTAAGGTGATCTCATAGTGCTTTTGATTTTCATTTCTCTGATGATGAGTGATGTTGAGCATCTTTTCATGTCTGTTGGCTATCTTTAGATCTTCTTTGGAAAAATGTCTACCCAGATCTTATGTCCATTTTTTAATTGGAATGTTTGGAGTTTTTTGGTGTTGAATTGATGAAGTTCTTTATATATTTTGGACATTAACCCCTTATTGGATGTATCATTTGCAAATATCTTCTCCCATTCAAGTAGGTTACCTTTTTGTTTTGTTGACTGTTTCCTTTGCTGTGCAAAGGCTTTTTATTTTGATGTAGTCCCAACAGTTTATTTTTGCTTTTGTTTCCCTTGCCTCAGGAGACATATCTAGAAAAATGTTGCTATGGTCGATGTCATAGAAATTACTGCCTATGCTCTCTTCCAGGATTTTTACGGTTGTTGATCTCACATTTAGATCTTTAATCCATTTTGAGTTTATTTTTGTGTATGGTGTTAGAAAGTGGTCCGGTTTCATTCTTTTACACTGAACTGTACACTTTAAACGGGTATGTGAACTATATATCAAGAAAGCTGTAAAAACTATATACAGTGAAACGACAGAGTAATATTTCCAAATATGCCATATTCCTGGGTTATACTGAAGCTACTGAGTATTTGTAAACCCCATCAAAATGCTGTAAGAGGATCCAAAAACGTTCAAACCGTTTAAATGCAGGATCACTTAATTCTAAGACCAATGACCCAGCTGAGCTTGCTGCAGAAAGGGCAGGAGCCAACTGCGGTTATGCTACACCTAAATTCTAGTGTTGGGGAGGCATTAGCGCAGCTTCATTGTAACAATGAACACTTATACAGTGTTCCCTTAGTGCCAGGACCCGTCAGAAGGGCTTCACATCTACTTTTCTCAAAACAATTTATGAGGATACTGAGGAGAAAATAGACTCTCTTGTCCAAAAAGCCACATGACAGTTGATGGTCTGAAAATTCAAAACCCAAATCTAACCCCAGAGCTTGCATTCTTAACTGATATATCAACCTCCCTTACTAAACAAAAAGCTGATAAATAACTCATTTGAACCTGATCATCACCCTCCTCCTACATGGTTTATGTACTACCCAATGAGATTTACAACAGCAAGGTAATATAAAGAGATGTATGAAAACCTATCACACATAACGAAATATTCACATTCTATGTACCTTCTGTATTACTGACTGTTGGCTCAGGAGTGATTCTCCCATCATGAATATTAGGGCTCTCCTCATCGGCATATACCAGATGATCATCTTCTCTATTTTCTGGCCACTGTGGTACCTCTCTTGTGTCTGTTGAGCAGCTGCATACATCTTCATTCTTGTTGAAGTATCTTTGTAGCCATCCTGGCACAATATTCTTAACAGATTCTGTAACCCTGCTAAGAATGCCCTGTTGGAAGAAGAAATACATAAGGCAGTTTTAGAAATTTATCTTTTTAAATATGTACCTAATTACAGAAAGCCACATCAAGCAAAACATGACTACTTCCAACAAAGTTTCCTGAAGTTCAGTTATTTGAGTTAATGCTGACATGATGGTTATTTTACAAATGCTATAGACATTACGAAATTCCTACTTTTTTCTTTCTTCCATATGCAGACATCCATAAGTCAATAACTGCCCCAAATGGCCTCATATTCTAACCCTTAAAAACTCCTACAAACCATCAAATAAGCCATATACTTTTTAGATTGAGTAATAAGATAATCCACTAAAATATTATAATCCCAGAGTAAAGGCATCTATTTTGATTCTAGCATATTAAAAGAAGTAACACTTCCTTCCCAACCAGGGCCCGGCAGAATGGCTCCTGCAAAGAAGGGTGGCAAGAAGGGCCGTTCTGCCATCAAGAAGGTAGTAACCAGAGAATACACTATCAATATCACAAGTGTATCCACAGAGTGGGCTTCAAAAAGCATGCCCCTCAGGCACTCAAAGAGATCCAGAAATGTGCCATGAAGGAGATGGGAACTCCAGATGTGCACATCGACACCAGGCTCCACAAAGCTGTCTGGACCAAAGGAATAAGGAATGGTCCATAACCATACCCATGTGCCGTTGTCCAGAAAATGTAACGAGGGCGAAGTTTCACCAAACAAACTCTATATGTTGGTTACCTATGTACCTGTCACCACTTTCAAAAATCTAGTTAATGTGGATGAGAACTAATCGCTGATTGTCAAATAAAGGTATAAAACTGCAAAAAAAAAAAAAAAAGCAACATAAACAATACCTTCAACAGCTTCCTCAAGCAATTATTTTCTTGCACATTAAGAAAAAAATTGGACAAATAAAAATGAGGTTTTTAAAGACATATAATAATCCAACATAATAAACTCAATAAATAACCTAAGATTTTTTTGATGGGAAAATTCTGTTACATCAAATGTTGTCTGAAGATCTAAGGAATTAATTTTATTATGACAACTATTAAAGGGAGAGAAAAAAATGTGGCACAACAACTATCAGTACTATTAACATTTATTGCAGCTTTGCTATGTGCCAGGCACTAAGTAGTTTATACATATTAAATTGAATCCTCACAATAATTTTATGAAGCTAGTATTAATAATGTCACTTTATGGATGAAAAGAGACAGGGAAGTTTTAAGTAACTTACCTAAGGTACAAACACAACCACTATGGTTTATCTAGGGATAAAATAAGGGAAGGGCTTTGGGATTGGTAGGACCTAGGATAAAGTTTGAGTACATCCCTGTACTTTGATTTACTCTAGGTAAAACAACAACATCCACTCCAACCTGAGAAAGAATTATAATGAAGATCAAATGAAATAATGTGAAAGCACTTCACAATTTCCAAAATATAACAGAAACATACTAATAATTTTATTACTAATGAGGAAGAAAAAAAACTAGCAGAAACAAACTGAGGGGAGATAAGCAAGTTTAAGCAATGATTTCCTTCATAAAGTAGCATTAGTAGAATTTCAAAGAAAGAATCACAGGAGGGAAAACATGAATTGGCAGGTACAAAAAACAGTTAAAAAATCAAGGCAGAATATATAAATCTACTCCGAAAGCTAATCCAAGACAAAGAGACCTTGAAATATCCTGTCAAGAGAAAAGATGGAACACACTTCTAATACTGGCACTTGAATAGTATTTTCTCCACTATTTGAAAGGTGTAGGTAACAACTGGGAAATATGTAATTATTTTTCCACCTAGTCTCCAAACAGAAATTTTGAACCAAACCACAATGATGTAAGCTCTCCAGCAACATAGAAGGCCAGCAGCCCTATAAAAAAGACTCCCTACTGAAAATCACAAATTCACTGTTCCCCTCTCAATGCTAATGTTACACAGTATTAGTTCCTTTGGAAAGAAAGATTAATATAACTACATCCATGATTTAGTATTTATAAAAAGATACATACAATATTTATTATTTATTTTTACTTATTATTTATACTTAAATATTTATTTACCCCCTCCCTATATATTTCAAAAGACTGGAAAGTGCTTACAAGATATAACATTATTTTTTTTTAAAGAATTTATTTATTTATTTGACAGACTGAGACACAGCGAGAGAGGGAACACAAGCAGGGGGAGTGGGAGACGGAGAAGCAGGCTTCCCGCTGAGCAGGGAGGCCGATGTGGGGCTCGATCCTAGGACTCCGGGATCATGACCTGAGCCGAAGGCAGACACTCAACGACTGAGCCACCCAGGCGCCCCTACAAGATATAACATTATTTAAATAAGACTTGAAAAAAAGTAACTTGATAAGAAGCGGTAAGTTAGCTTGAGCATGATAGCAAGAATTTAAGGTAAAATAAGTTTTTTTGTGAACTTTTAAGGTGTTAGGCTACTAAAAATATCAGAGATTCCCTGTGATCCCTGCTCACTTAAGGGGGCAAGTCTAGGGTGCCTGGGTGACTCACGTCATGATCCCAGGGTCCTAGGATTGAGCCTCACATTGGGGGGGGGTCCCTGCTCAGCAGGGAGTCCACTTCTCCCTCTCCCTTTGCCCCTCCCCCCTACTCTCGCTCACTCGCTCTCTCTCAAATGAATAAATGAAAAATCTTTAGGGGCACCTGGGTGGTTCAGTCGGTTAAGCGCCTGCCTTTGGCTCAGGTCATGATCCCAGGGTCCTGGGATGCAGCCCCACATCGGGCTCCCTGCTCGGCGGGGAGCCTGCTTCTTCTCCCTCTGCCCCTCTCCCTGCTTGTGCTTGCTCTCTCTCTCTGGTAAATAAATCTTTAAAAAAAAAAAGGAGGGGGCAAGTACAACTTAAAATTAACACCATACTTCACTAAAGGTCACTTATGGGGCAACATTAGGTATTGTGGAGAATAATCAGTAAACAAAATTGAATAGTCAAAATGGATAAAATAAAGCTCACTCACTAAAGTTCATTAACTTTGCTTGGATCCTTCTCTTTTCTAAACTAAAATGTAACCAGTGTATCTGATCACAGCCCACAGCTGCTCTAGTACAAGGAAAGTACAGCGAGAGAGGAGTTACTGGTGGCATAAGGAAGGGTAGCATGAAGATCCTGACAGTAAAAAGAAACAACAGGTGTTAAAACTGACCTGGAACCATTATAAAAAACCAACATCCCTAACTTAAGGATACCTCTTAGGGCAAATGACCCTAAGGCAACCACAAAAATTAAGCTCAGTGGACTCGCGTGTAATGGTTCCCAAAGTGTGGTCCCTTTATGGGTAATGTCAGCATCCCCTCAAGCCCTCTCCGAGCCCAACTAAACTCAGAAAAGCAGGGCTCACCTGTTTTAACAAACTTTCCCGAGTGGTTCCTATGTATGCTAAAGTTTGAGAACGACCATTCTAGTTAAAGACATTAGGAAATTAGATGCATTTCAGGAAATTACATTTTAGGGAAAAGGTCCCTCTTCTGTAAGAGGGAAATAAAAATTATACTTAAGTCCTAAGACCTGGAAAACATATATATGTGGAACACTAGTCAGACAGTAATTAAAATACATTGTAAGATACTCTAAAATTACTCAAAAAAACAAATCTTACAGTGAGTGGACTGTGCTGAATATAATACAGCTTATAGAAGTATTTTCCCAGTGATCCCCAAACTTTAGCCATGGTTTTTACCTGTACTATTATTAATGGTTTTCTTTCTATCCATTCATTACTCTCAATAAATTTAGCTCTTCCTACACAATAAAATCTATCAAATCACAGATCTGATGCTGCACTGGTCTTCACTTGCTCTTCCCTCACTCCATCCTTGACAGGCCATCCAACCAAACTGGCTTCTTACCAGAAGGTAGGACTGGCCCCTAAGATACCAGGGGATACTAGAGATTATGGAAGGAAGGAAAGAGAATTCGTTCTTGTGCTTCCTCTCTGATCAAAGGCCCCATCTCTAAAACCCTGCTCCAGCCAGGTGGCCATTCCTCCACTCCAGCTACACCATTTCTTCCTTATCCTTCCTGTCCTACAAAGAGTAGCAGCTTCCCACTACTGCTAATTTCTGGGCATCTTGCTATCCAGTATCTACTCCTTTAACCACCAGCATATCTCTATGTAGACTCTTTCTTTGTTTCTTGCAGGGTCCCTAACTGATAAAGCAGTGCTATTTGTTAATTTTTTTTCCTAATGAACATGAAAATTAAAGAGTCAGTCCATGTAGCTTTAACAAAGGAACACACATACAACACTTGGGGAAGCACTCATACTACTCAAAAGTTACATCCAATCTTTATCTCTGTAAAATATTTTAGAATCTTGTCTAACTTACAAAGGTAAGCACAGACATTACTTTGTTCATTCCATCAATACTTACTAATCACACACTACATGTCAGGCAAGGAACAGTGGGGAGACAGCAGAAACAAGTTCCTGCTCTCTGGGAGCAAACACACCAGTAAATATAATATGAACACATAATATAGTGATTCAATGCTATGAACAAAAATAAAGCAGCGGAGCAAAATGGGATAGTTATTTTATACAAGCAAAGATCTAGCCATGCAAATTTCTAGTGAACTATTATAGACTGAGAGAACAAAAATTGCGAAGTCTTAAATATAGGACTGTCCTTGCCACATGCTAAAGTTCTGGTAACCTTATTAAATAATACAAAATCTAGTAAGTCTTAAATAACTACTGAAACCTTTTATAACTCTTTAATCATATGTGTGTGAATCTGTGTAATCCTTTGTTCTGTAGCTTATATACCTATCTAGTCACTATAAAAGGACTAAAACAGCAGATCTCAAAGTCTTCAAATCAGCAGCATTGGTGTCACCTTTGAGCAAGTGAGAAATGCAAATTTGTTTTAAGAAGCTCTTGAGGTGATTCTCACGCAAATTAAAGTTTGAGAACCAGTGTACTACAATCATCTAAAACTCAGTGACCTGGGGGCACCTGGGT